ACACAGAGCTGCACGATAGCTGTAACCATGATACTAACCTCGCTACATGCTTATTTCCAACGAGTACATGCAACTTACAACCAGTCTTACATACTTCGCATTACCTAGTTTCTTCGGCGTCCAACAGAATGTCCAAGAGAAAAATATTCCCCCAACTTTGCTTCGCCATCGAAAAATCCAGGCGAGTCGTATTGGTACGAGGAAGACGAAGTCGGCCGTGTTCCCCGGCGAGAAAAATGACCGCGGCGAGTGTCCTCCCCGACCGGCACCGCCGCATAGGTGTCCGGATCGCGGCAAATGGACCGCGCGGCGATCTATCGCGTGCAGGGGCGCGGTGGGACGGGGACAGAACCTGTTGGACGTGTGTGTGCGTACGCGCGCGACGTCGGCGACGGCGACGTCGACGTCGACAACAGTCGGAGCGAGGCTAATGAGTCCGTAAATTGGACCAGCTAGCCTAGCTAGGCCCTCCCATCTGAGGTCCGCGCGGTGGTTCTCTCTTCTCATTGTCAGTGTGACTCATTGGCTTGGTGTGCGACGTGGTTCCAGCCCACGATTCAATTGCGCTCCGTTCTTCTCTCCGTTCTTTCCACCCTGAGTTTTATTTTCTCCGTTCTCTTCGTCGCCCTCTTCTCTCCCTCCTCGTCTCGGCTGCCTCCCGCCGGGGATTTTTGTGTTTTGGTGTCAGTGAAGAAGGTACACCGCGCGGAAACTGGCCCAGCCTCGATGGAAATGTTCATTATTCAATGAAGACAGATGTATCTAGCTCCATGGAGAGATAACTGCGAAGAGGACCCGACGGTTTCGATGGGAGCACCGTTTGATGGGTCTATGGAGATCGTTCGCTGTGAATTGAGAACCTGGGAAGCTGTGCTTGCAGGAGGACACTTTGAAGTTTGAAGAACTTGGATGCTTGTAGGCTCTCTGGGAGCTAAGTTTAGAGGTGGTCTTGATGCAGGGAAGCTGGGAGTGGAAGAATATTCTTTGTGATGAGGAACATGGAGTCTACCGATTAATCTGAAGTTGAATCATCGAGGATAGAGGAGCTAGAAGAAGCGATCTCGATGTGAGAAATATGAGATCAACCGATGAATGCAGCTGTGTCCAAGTTCTGAGGATGATAGTTTGCTCCGTGACACCTTGGCGTGAATCCTCGATGCCATTCGCTCGCGAGTTCTCTTAGAAAGATTTTCAAAGAGGTATTCGAAGCTTTGAGGATGAGTTCTGAGGTTGCCACGTCGATCAAGTCTTTTCGGTGTCCTCGGCTACTCGGAGATCACTGCTGAGAGTCTGGATACTTAGCTGCTCTGACGCTGATCGCTGAAATAGGTAGATTTGCTTCTTCCCGAATTGAACATGGCGAACCAGACGACGAAGATGGAGCTCCTCGAGGACGGTCTCCACTTCCATCATCCCGAGGGTAGCCAGGAGGAAGTGGACAGGGAATGGGAGGAATTCGGCAGGCTGATGGCGAAGCTGAGGGAGAACCGGCGGGACAGACCGCACAGGTAATCCCCAGTCTTCGTTTTCCCTTTCTTTTTTCAGGAAGAGATCGAGGAAAATTGTATTCGCTCGTTTATTTAATGATAGACGTCACTTAGCCGGAGTTATTTAGCAATCATAGTCAAGTGGGGGAACAAATAACAATGATGATATGATTTTGTTACGCGTGCAATCACACGAATACAGAGTTCGAACATTCCGAGTCCTCCGGGACAGACATTTTCCGAATTCTCATTGGTTTAACCAGTTAACTGTGGAATTTAGTTGAAGAAACCACTCGTTCTCCGCGCAATAGAATCGGAAAATGGAGCGTGCACTCGTCGAACGCAGGACAAATTCACCTAGAATTTTAACCCTTTGCACTCCAAAAATTTGTCACTAGAAATATTCAATTTATTTTTATGAGATACAGATGACATTTTTTTCAACTTAACGAGGAATCTATTCATAAAGTAAGGGGAACAATGGTATTTTATTTCTCCATTTCACGTATCGATAGACTCAAGACTTAATGTTAAATATGGAATTTTACAATTTTGATGCACCAATCACTGAGAGGTACCTCTCGAATGCAAAGGGTTAATGAAAGACCAAAGCGAAAGAAAGAATCACATGTTTATATGAAAAAATAAAGAATTCATTGCTTAAAGAATTATCATGTCAAGCTTTACGATGACGCGTATACTCGTCAAACACAGTTAACTGGTTAAAAATACATTTTCGAACGATGAGAGTATATAACAAATGCATTTAGATGATCGGATGAATTTAATGTAGAATTTTCTTTTTGTCAGACCCTCGCAAACCTTCTATCCGTGTCCTCCGACGAACGCGGACGAGGAGCAGCAGGATTTCGATCCCTTCGATTACATTAACACTATTGTAAGCGAATTCTATTGAATGGATCGTTCTGCATGCAACGCAAGCTCTCGCGGTGCAGTCTGCCTGTTGCATCTTGCGGTTCCGTTGATTCAGCTTTCGCGATTTCTATGATCATCCAGTCGCTCAATAGCGTTCCATAATTTCAATCAGCAAATTTTCGAATGTCCAGATATCCAAATTTTCATACTCTCATCCTATTCTCGTCTCTTCCAACAAGAATCATGCACAACGGAACGATCGTATCACGCAACAATAGATCTTTCCTCCTCTATTCCGATCACGTCGAGGAAATAATCGCCGACAGTCGCTTTCGAAATCGTGTCACGGTTTTCCCGAATAAGTGTGCTCCGCTCACCGCGAAGGAACGTCGTGGAAACGTCGCGGGATAGATATCATTAACGGAAAAGGAAAAAACGAACGCGAGGAACGGCAAGAGCGCCGTCGAAAGACACCAGCTTTTACCTTTCACCTTCTCGGAAATGAAATACCAACGGAATCACGTGCCATCGGATGGGGCGGGATGATTTCTCGCGATGCCGTTGAACCAATGCCGGGCGACGGTTTTAAAATTAAACCGTCTTCGACGCTGCTAGACGAATCCCAGACGAGAAACACGCTAGCCTGCCAATATCGGCTGCCAATGCGCGGCACGCGCTTTGTTTTTCCCCTTCGCCGTTTGTTTCGTCCCGTACCGACACGGCCGACGTTTCTTCGTCGACGTCGCCCGTGAAAACCGATGGGACTCTCGTTGCCAGAACGTTGGAATTAAATTGGTCGGTCGTGGTAACGGGAACAAACAGAGAACGCGGGTTAAACGTTTATAGCGACGACTTTTGTTTACCGTAGAACTTTGTTTTGAAAGTTTGTCAAGAATATTTATTACGTTGTGTTATTTGCGCGTTGCCGGTCGTGTTTGTTTGATTGTTGCGGGCAATTTATTCTCGAAGGTCTCGTTTTGCCATGAAATTCGGTGCAGCGTAGTAGAATGAAGATGATGCTTGTCTGATCATTGGTGGTCACTTCTACTTAAGCTCCTAGAAAGCTTCGAAAATCAAATCTTTCAATTCGAGATTTAACTTCAACTCCAATTTGCCAAAACCTTTCTACTACAGTCTTCAATAATTCCCTCGATAACTACTTTCAAGTAGCAAAGCAGCTTAATTACTGATAATTTCATGTTCGCAATTGACAACATGTCACGTTCACCTTCGAAAATCCATTCTCAAGCGAGCAGAATAAGGAAAATCATATTTCCAAAGATTCCCTCGATAGTCACTCTCTAGTGGGGACACAGCTTAACGTCCGACACAAGAGTTTACGCCGATCCTCGCGCGTAGCGCTTAGCGGCGCGACCTTTGAACGGTTGCCAAGTGGGCGAGAGAGGCTACATTTTAAATAAACGTTCCATGTGAGCGGCTCGCAATAACGGGTCGCGATCCCTGTCAGTTCTGCCGTATAATCTCTAGCAACGTGTCCGAACCAGATGTCTTCACTGACCTATCGTTCTGCCATCTGGTTCGGCGCGCCGGGTTTCGACAGCTCGATGAGACGAACGTGAACGTTCCGGCGACAGAAGTCTTTCGACGTTAACGGGGAACCCCGGACGGTTCCTATAAACCTCGATTAACGATAAGATAACCCGAAACCGACACATTACCGAATTCCTCTTTTGAAATTATAATAAGATAACACGTGCTTCTTTCAGAAATCATTAGCCACACTGATTTAGCAATATCCGACTTATCAGTCGATCGAAACTTTAATAAATTCACTCCTACTGTTCATATATTTATCGAAAATTCAACTCAATGGTTCAGTAGGTCTAGAGTTAAATATTCTAGGATGATCTAACTCAACGTAAGATCATCTATACACAGAATGAATTTTAATAATTAAACCTCACGTTTTTAGATTATAGATAATACGAATAATATATTGCAGTATTTTGTAACAATGAAAATTCTTCTTATTATCTGATGCGAGTAGTACGGGTCTTACGCGACCCAGCTCCGGCGGAAGGTTAAACGTCGCGCACGTCGTTCGATGGTCGCGTGCGGACCGACCTTGACACGAAACACGCGTCACGGGACTGCTGCAGTGACCACACTGCACTTCCACGAAATTAGAAGTTCGCAAGGTGACCAGACCGCCTTGACTCTTTCGGGCGTCGCCGTTGGCTTTAACAGAGGTGGCCTGAAAAGTTCATTCAGCGGCTGCACCGTGGAATCGACACACTTTTTCACGTAATCCTGCTCGAGCAATAACGCAGAATGCATAATGCATTTCATTGGATACCTGTGCAATTAAATTTCATGCATACCACGCGCTCGTTCATTGACTACCGACTACGACATACTACGAACGCCACAAGCTACATTTTCATTCACTGTTATCTGCAACGACTAAAACTCGATCCCGTTCATAATCATTTGAAAAAGTTCATCTCCATCGATTCTATCTTAACACATTGTGTACTGGTAACGAAAAATCTCATTTTTGTACGAAGATTCTTAGCTATATAACTTTGCTAATCACGGCAGTTAAAGAAATATTCAATTTGATTAGAACTAATTGTCCATTGAAAATATATTACATAACAGTATAATAGCTGAGTTTTTTTATAGATAGTGATATAAGTGGATCTCACTGAAAATCCGCACAATTAAATTTTCTGATAATTACGCGGTACGCAATGAGTTAAAAATACAATCTATTCATAATATTCAATTTGATTAGAACTAATTGTCCATTGAAAATATATTACATAACAATATGATACCTGAGTTTCTTTATAGATAGTGATATCAGTGGATCTCACTGAAAATCTGCACAATTAAATTTTCTGATAATTAGTCAGTACGCAATGGTGTTAACAATACAATCTATTCGTAATCTATTTGGAAATACTACGATCTCGAACTTCTAGAAACACTATAACTCACTCCCGTCCATCCCCATTTGCCTTTCGTTCATCCGCCATTACCATAAACCATAATTTATTACCATTTTTCTCAACCGACAATCCACCGCCGTTCAAATCCCTCATCACGTTCGTTCACGATCCATTATCCTTGCATCCTCATTCCGTCCCATTTGAGCGTGCCGAACGCCATCGATCATCGCCGGGCGAAATCCTCATGGATCCGCGTCGATCGCGCACCAATTCGCCTGACAATCCCGCGAGCGGAAAAGTGCACACGCCGATTGTTCCAGCGACGCCTTCTTTCTAAGCAACGCCTTCATCTGCATAAATGAGCGCTTAAGGACTCGTTACGTTTATCCGACACGCGTGACCAGCATGCAGAGACCGCCGCGCGTCACGTGACGCACACGGCCGACCGGGTGGACCGGTGCGCGTCCGTCTAACTGCACGTCCGTCGCAGCCTATGCACTTTCCTACGGCATATGCAGATCCACCGTTTCCGGGTGCGCAACAGCTCCAACAGTTTTCCCGCGGTTTTCTCTGTCCGCCGTTTTCCCCGCGTTTCCCTCGAACTGACGACGCGCGAATTCTTCGTGGAATTTTGCTGGTTCCTGGGAACCGACTGATTTAACCCTTCGCACTCGGAAGTTTCTCATTAGAAATGTTTAGCATTCTTTGAGACAGATATTCTTTGTAACTAACTCGAAGGAAATCACTAGTATATTGAGGAACAAAGCTATTTCATTCCAATATCTCACACATCGAGGAATCATATAAAATTCAACGTTAAATATCAGATTTCATAGTTTTACTACGTTAAATCAAGTGACCCTTTGCACTCGGAAGTTTCTCATTAAGAATATTTAACATTCTTTGAGACAAAGATATTCTTTAAAACTAACTTGAGGGAAATCACAAATACATTGAGGAACGAAGCTATTTTATTCCAATATTTCACGCATCGAGGCATTATATTAAATATCAGATTTTATAGTTGTGCTACGTCAAATCAAATGATAACTAAGAGTCACCTCCCGAGCGCAAAGAGTTAATTAAACCTACTGTTTCATGTAGGATTGAATATCTTGAGTGTCAATTGGTATTAGCGTTGGAAATTTGAGGTATTCGCCGAGATCAAGTTTCGAAGCTTAGAGGATCAGGATTAGATTCGGTGGCTTAGAGGATCCAGCGGAATTGGGTTTGATGGTTTAGGGTATCAAGCTTCTGGCAGTGTCTACATTTACTCGCGATAAATCGATTGTTATGGTTGTACGTTATTATTTACAAGATATTCTAAAATTAAACTTGGAAGTTTGGGGTATGTACCTTTTGACCTGGAAGATTGGCAAGTATTTCTGTATCTCTTCGTGGCCATAGGATAATTATAGAATTCCAAGTTGTCCATGGTGGAATGTTCTTTGAGAACATTGTCTTGTCAACCGTTAATTGGATCAGAAAGCCGAGCAGGGGATTTCTATTTAAATCGACGCCACGCCGTCTATTAATTGTATCGCGAATCGGTCATGCTCAATTACTAAAATTGGGTTAGGGGCTGATTGCCCAGTGGATCGTGGCCGCCGTTGACGTCAAATCCATGCACAGGTTCTCTCAGGTGTCGCCTATATTTCAATCCTCGGCTGCGGTCTCGTTACGTCGCCGTTTCACGGCCTCCCGATCGCTGTGCGGCGAAAATCAGAAACGGACGACGAAAATTCTGATTAGAATTCCGGATTACCGTTTCGAAATTATAAACCTCTGCGCGAGTACACCAGAAGAATCGTGTGTCTCTGCTGTACAAACGACGAGAATCGAACAGCGTTTAGAGTGAATAAAATTATTAACAATCATTCTCGCCTCGAAGAGTACATTGGCACTGCGATAACGATAATTGAGTCTACTTGGCACTAGTTAAATCCACGGCGAAATCATAAATAAAATGAATAGGCCGTAAACAAGAGGATACACGTAACGATGAAAGGTGGAAGATTAACGGCGGAAGATGAAATAAAAGAAGGCCCAGTAACAGAGCGGTATTATTAATTTCAGTTAATGAAGACAGAAGATCCGAAATTGTCGAAACAGCAACAGTGTGGCTCGGCCGTGTGGAACACGCTTAACGGACGGCAATAAACAATAGAGGGAACCGTCGTTGACCGGCGGCCGAGCCCGCTGCTATAAATATCGGTTTTGACGGTTGCCAAATTTCAACAAATATCGCGGCTCAAGTTCGAATTCGGCGTGTCGTGCAGTTGTCGTTCGTCTGCAAGTTCGCATGCACGATTCCCTCGGCGCCGATGGTTCTACAAAATTCCCGCGGGTAGAATTCGCTCCGTTAATCGGCGAATCGCGGAAGACAGAAGAGGACCTTCTCGAATAAAAGAATAATACAATACATCTCAAACAAGTATTAAGAGAATTCGACAAGGAATCCGCCCACTGCACGAATTACTGCAGCCGAAGCTAGCAACTAAGAGGATTTCCAATGAAATCGCGGAAAAATCGGTAACTCCAAGGAATTCGAACGAGACGTTCAGTCCGATGTCTTAGAAGCTGAGAATACCGAGGAAACCATTAATTTCTTCTATTTCGAGTGGATCTTGGCAGTAAACAGGAATCTCGTGAGTCAATACGAAGATGAATCAGCGAGAAGTGAACTAAACTCCCTCGAAACTAATCAACGGAATAGAATCCAACGTTAGGTCGAACTTTAGAAGTCGGAATACAAGAAGCAGCTTTCTTATATCATCTACCATCGACATCTTCGGGGAGTATTAATAAAACAGCACAGTATAAGAAAGGAATCGTCAAAAAACCGGCGTGTATTTCTCGAAAAGAAGTGTCACAATCAAATGTTCAACGAGGAACACTTCAATCCTCCTAATTCACTCAGCACTCGGCAAACAGAACCGGATCGAGAACGATAAAATCGATTGAACTCGGGATAAATCACAGTCAAACGGTTTTCGATAGTCGGTGTCGACGTCTCCCAGTGACAGAGAAGAGGAAACAATAGAACGATGGATGAGTCCCGGTAAAGGCGATTCGCCGCCAGAAATATCGGTATCGGAGCACTGCCAGCGGACGTTCGATTGTCTGCGACTGGCACACGCGGCTACAATGACGCAGTAATTAGTCAGTACGTAACAGCCCGTTTAACGAGTACAACATCCGAGGATCTCAGCCAGATCTAGCGGGATCGAGGGGACACCGATCTACAGGAGAAGGAAAATGTTCGGTCGGTTATCGGTGATCGTCGATAAAGCTTGCCCGCGTCCGACGAATGCTTCGTCCTTCGTGACTTAATTCCGTGAACGATCCTTGAGTTATCGTTCGGTTTGCGATCGCTGGCTGGACCGGGAGCTCCTGAGGATCACTAGATCCAGCTTTCATGCCGGCTTCCGTGCTCAACAGAGCTTATTTCGTCTGTAACGATGACTATCTTGTAAGTGACGATAGGCGGTGTGCTTCCCTTAGTGTTCAGTTTGGATCATTTCCTTTTTTGATTAACACTTGTATATAAAATTCAACGTTAAATATCAGATTTTATAGTTTTACTGCGTTAGATCAAGTGACCCTTCGCACTCGGAAGTTTCTCATTAGAAATGTTTAACATTCTTTGAGACAAAGATATTCTGTGAAACTAAGTCGAAGGAGATCACAAGTATATTGAGGAACGAAGCTATTTTATTCCAATATTTCACGCATCGAGGCATTATATAAAATTTAACATTAAATATCAGATTTTATAGTTTTACTGCGTTAAATCAAGTGACCCGTCGCACTCGGAAGTTTCTCATTAGGAATATTTAACATTAACAATTGTTGAGAAGGCGACGGGTATCACTTCGGAAAATAATGGAGAAACTGATTTATCGTAAATTAATTGATAGTTATATAGAATAGTAAAGCAATAGTTGCACTATTCGGGTTTCTATAGGAACATTTCGAAAGGATCATTTGCTCGGTAGTCTTAATATTGTGTTAATTACTGTCTCTTCGTTGTTAATCGGTTCTTTGTTTCGCGTGGTACTTACCTGCAAATTTTAATCGTTGCAGTTATTTTTGCACTTGATTCTCGACGATTATACTTTATCTTTACAATAGCTGTTCCTTTGTTTCCTTTTCAACCGTTGTAGTCACTGTTTCCATCGAATAACTGTAACACGTACGAACGACAGAGAAAATCGGTCATCTCCCGTTGTCGATCCTCGTTTCGATCGGCCTTGGATCACTAATCAAAGTCGTCGAACCCAGACCGCGTAATCTTATTTTCCTCCAGCTTCGGCCGAGATTCCGGCACGAGAAAACCGTCATTCGGCGTTCCGCGGCCGCGTCGATCGCGTAGATCGTCCTGCCGATCTGCAGTTCGCCCGTAAACGAATCCATCTCGCGATTCTGAATCCCCTGCGTCTCACAAGTAACGATCTCGATCGTCGTAGTATCTCACGGCTGAATCCGGAGTACCCGTTGTCTCGCTGAAACTGTTTCCGTCGTGATAACTTCGTTATCTCGCGAGGCCGCGATCATTATCGCCGATCAAATGTCGATCCTCGCAAAACCACGCGCAAATCAATACAATTTTATCGATGAATCGGTCGCGAAGAATGCAGAGATAACATTTGTTTTTATAGAACAATGATGTATGTAGATATTTTCTTTTTAAAAACGGCTCTGAGATGAATGAATAATAATTAGAGGATGATCGATACTCGTGTCGCGCGAATAAGTTTAAAATGCTCCGTAGAAGAATGTTAAAATTCGACTATTCGCATGATGAAAATTACAGATTACCACTGTGCTAATTAGTCCCTACTACGAAATGATTTTCATTCGAAAAATAACAATTCTGTACGAAACAATTCTGTTTCTCTATTTATATAATGTTGGAATTGAAATGCAAAGTATCCATTGGCACTGGAAAAACTTGATAATATCCCCATTATGTAAAACATAATTCTCTATCACTCATACATTTCAAGTTATCGAGTTTCGTTCGGAAAACGGTCGCTCGGCCGAACCGCGCGTCGCCGCGGCTTCGATTTTCCACGCGTCTCCTCCGCGAAATTTTGAAACTCCCCCGCAGGTTGCGCGAGGTTTATCGAGGTTTACTGATTTGTAAATGAAAAACAGGCTGTACTCGGCACTCGAACCCGCGCAACAGATATGCGAGAGATAAATCGGGGATCGTAGAACGGCGATCGATTTTTATCTGGACACGTTGATGGAATGAAATTCAGTACGTTTCGTGTTTGCCGATCGTTAGTCGCGGTTCCTATCTCGTCGCGGGTACGTCGTTCATTCGTTCACGTCGGTTTGTATGCCTGTTACAACGGAGAACAAAAGTCCAAGCGGAATTCGACGTCCGAGCAGAAATGATTTTTGTCGTGCGAGTGTCGCATATATTCTCGTCGGTTTTCGAGTCGAGGAGAATTCGCAGCTAGCGAATGATTTCCGTTCAGAGATCGTGCTAGTTGATCGTGGATTGTACACGTTTGGTAGGTATCCAGTAACGTTGATAACAAAGTTATTGCATCGTGTCCTCTCAAATTCTACAGTCACTGATGAAAAAATTAGGACCACGTAGTACCGGTAATCTAAAAGAAAATTCAACGATAACTTCTTCGTTGTAACGAATTGCACAAAAATAACATAAACAAACGACCAGACAGGTATCAGATAAGCAAGAGACATTCATTGTTGATCGTCTGAAAGCTGACGTCAGCGGTGGTCCTAATTTTTCCATCAGACACTGCAGTTAACGCGGTTCGATCTCGATAAAATCCGATGATGAATCTAGATGTATGGTCGCTACACGAAAGACCTGGGTGAGTACGCAAAGGAAGAGGCACGGAAGCTCAAGTACCATGACAAGGCGCGACGGAAGTACGAGAAGGGCAGGGAGGAGGACTTCCGGAAGTCGAGGAGAGGTCCTCTCTGCAGGAAGCTGCTCGCGTTGCTGGCCTTCGCGTGGAAGCACACCGGGGCTAGACTAGGCGAGGACTGGGTATTCTTGGCTCTCCTCGGCATCATCATGGCGCTGATCAGTTACGCCATGGACCGGGGTATCTCCATGTGCAACAACGGTCAGTTTGTTTCGACAATCACTAGAGAACGTTCGTACAAATTTCTATCTTTGTAAAGGAACATAGAATGAAAGTCGAGATCAATTTTCCTTGGAAGATCAGTCTCATCGAGGATAACTTAAAGAGGTCTATGAAAAGATTGATAGATCTAATGATTAGTAAGAAAATACATTTTACTCAAACTATAATCAAGTTAGAGATTTATGATCCTTCCAAACGAGGAATTGTCTTGCTGTTCTACATTCCAAAAGATCCAATTCTCCTTTCAACACCTCTTCTATCATTAAAAACGAACTTCCTCCATCGAAGTAGCCTATTCTTCTTACTCCACTAAAATTCAATTCTTCCCGAAGGCCTGTATCCAATTTTCCGCGTCGTTGATCGAAACGAAATCGATCCGACCGCTGGAACGAGTCGTTAAAACAGTGTCCTTGTTCCACCAGCCAGGATATGGCTTTATCAGGATCTGACGCAGCACCCGGCGCTCCAGTACCTGGCCTGGGTGACGCTGCCTGTTTGCCTGATCCTGTTCAGCGCGGGATTTGTGCACATCGTTGCGCCGCAGAGCATCGGGTCCGGTATACCCGAGATGAAGACCATCCTCAGAGGCGTCGCTCTGAAGGAGTACCTGACCTTCCGCACTCTGATCGCTAAGGTTAGCTCCCAACCCGGTGTTTCGATTGGTCTGTCTGTTCACCACGTCACGGTTGACGACGCTGTAAACCGCCGACACGATTGTTTCTGTAATTAACGCTAATCTGGTTGCATTAGCCTCGCGTAAATTTTATTGGCGACGTTGATCCTAGCTTTTGAGAGTACTAACCCTTTGCACTGCACATGTCGTTAGAAACATCTAATATTCTCCGATGATACAGAGGATTCTTTGAATCTAATTAACGAGGGAACATTAACACCAGAACTACACTTAAAATGTTATAAAAGATAAAGGCGTGAATTTAGTAAGATTTCAATTGACTTATGTCTCAGTTTAGGTATTAACACGTTCACGGTGTACCACTGGTGGCTCATAGTAAGATTTCATATTAGACAGTGTACCATTGATTAGACAGTGTACCATAGATTAGATGTGGCTCAAATGGTTTAGTAATTAGAAAACATTGCCATATAGTTGAGAATTAATTTACTTATTGATCATTTCAATATTTTCATCAATTTTGAGAATTCAGTCGCCAAATGGAAAAGTGTGGAAATTACAGCGATGTGAACGTGTTAATCAGCTTCTTTAGTCGTTTTTCAAAGAAGTATTCCTTTCCAGTAATCACAAAAGAAAAAATCAAGGCCATTTTGAGCCATATGGTAGTTCTATTGTTAATATCACACACTAAACTTCATAGTCTGTACCCAATTGGGTGGTGATAGTAGCCTCTCGACTGCGAAGGGTCCAATACTTCATCAACGGTCGTGTCGAAGTCCTCTAGTTTGTAACGCATCCCCTAACCGGTGAGGTAGAGGCTTAGCAACTCAGCAAATCAAATGAATATTACAATTCCACATTCTGCGAACGAGAAACTTTCTCATAGATGGCTAAACGAGTCCTCGTAAATGACAAAGTACTTAACACTATTCCTACCGACACTTCGCGTATACCTATTCCTACCGCGACCAATCAAATGACTGGTCTTTAGCACAACTTATGTTTTTTAATATAGAATGAAGATAACAGCCAATTTGACAGTATACAAGTATAGTTTCTTTTATTTAGAAGTATATAATTTACATTTTATTCGTTTTCACCGCATTTTTTACAAATAGGTTTACTTTTTACATTTTAGGCAGATTTTGTTAGTCGTATTGTTCGTGCAATATCTTATTTGGCATGGTTTCCGTTCGCGTGTACTTGTATTTGTGACGGGTGTTGCTTGATTTTCTTCGCCTAACTCTAGTTCTTTTTGATATTCAATGGCAAGTCCTTCTGTCAATTGAAAGACAAATTCCTGCCTCGAAATCTCTTCTCCCGTGGATTCTTTATATAAAATCCATGCATTTATCCCGGCTAAATTTAGGATATTGAAAAATACCTGTAAAAGCCATCTCCGACATTTAGATTTTACCGATTTCAACGAGGTCGATAGACGAGCGAGAACTGTAAACACTTGGAAATACCGTAAAGCAGTCCCTGAAAGGCACTTTTTGGCTAAAATCATGCCACAACTGCATTACCTTTCGTTCGTAACAACTTTATAGCTTCAGAATTGAATCTTTGAGAGAATACTATTACAAAAAGATATAAATCGTTCTACCGGTCAAATGACCGGTCGTGGTAGATAAGACAAACTACAAATTTTTCTCAAAAAATAAACAATAAAAACAGGAGTGAATATTGAGGAATTTATACATATATTTTAGGAAAAGTCGTGAAGTATAAAGGCGATTCAATTACGTTGTCAATAGGAAATTCTAATCGAAATTTTAAAAACATTTGACTGGTCGCGGTAGGAATAGTGTTAAGAGTCTACTTCACTGCTAGAGGATGAACGCCAAGCTAAAAGATGAAAACCAACTATCGCTCGCGTTTCGAAATTGGTCGTAGACGTGACCTAATTCCCAACAGGTGATAGGTCTGACCGCGACCTTGGGCTCGGGCCTGCCCGTAGGCAAGGAGGGTCCTTTCGTGCACATTGCCAGCATAGTCGCCACACTGCTCTCCAAGCTAGTGACCAGTTTCCAAGGGATCTACGAGAACGAGAGTAGGAACTGCGAGATGCTCGCCGCAGCTTGTGCGGTCGGAGTAGCTTCCTGCTTCGCGGCCCCCATAGGAGGCGTCCTCTTTAGCATCGAGGTAACCACCGTCTACTTCGCCGTGAGGAACTACTGGAGAGGATTCTTCACCGCCGTCTGTGGCGCCACAATGTTCCGACTACTGGCGATCTGGTTCCAAAGAGAGGAGACCATCACGGCGATGTTTGCGACGAACTTCACCATGGACTTCCCGTTCGACCCTCAGGAGCTGTTCGTCTTCGCTCTGATCGGGGTGGGCAGCGGACTCGTGGGTGCATTTTACGTTTGGCTGCATAGGCAGTACGTGATCTTCATGAGGAAGAACAAGAGCATGAACAGCTTCTTGCAGAAGAAGTGAGTCTTTAATATTCTAATAGTAGTTTTGATGCTTTCACGGCCTGGAGTGTTACATTCATTTCTGGCTTTCGGGAGAGAGCCGTGTCCACTAGGAATTTTTTCCCAACATTTCGCCATCATTGCACCTGGCTTCATCAGGGGGCTAAAGGCACACTGATACTGATGTGTGCCGAGGAAGAGTCTCTTTAAATACGTACCCTGTTCCGGATCGATGGTCACCAATTATTTTAATTGGGCAGCTGAACAATTTGGGAAAAAATTCCTAGTGGACACGGCTCTCTCCCGAAAGTCAGAAAGAAATTTAATATCCTAATTTGTAACTTGACGTGTACTGCTTCATTTAGTATAACACTAAAACTACCGAGCACTTCAATTGACTTTTAAAATTTCGCTATAGAAACTCCAAGAGTGCGTCTGTTCAGACTGTAATTGATTTACAATTCAATTTGCATAGTGCTAAATGAATTTCTTTAATAATTTCTCAGAGAAACATTTGTTACCTTTCTAACAATTGCAAAGATATCAGGCATGGGTCATTTGACCCCTCTGGTAGTTTTAGTGATAAACTTATCCATTGTCATCGGAAATTCATTCATCACCGCTTACTAAACGCTAGACCTTTGTTAGATCAGTTGCCACTAGACTGCGGATTTCCATTTTTCTATCGTATTCTCCCATTGTTTCTTCTCAGTTGTATCGGAAACTTCTATTTGTAGGATCTTCAATGTGTGTACTGTGTAGGAGAGGTGTAATGAGCAACTCTCTGGGTTTTAATACACTTTTAATACTCTTGGCTCCTCCAACGCTCCTCCAAATCTAAATTATATATTAATTGCTTAACCAGTTAACTGTGGAATTTAGTTGGAAAAACCTCTCGTTCTGCGCGCAATAGAATCGGAAAATGGAGCGTGTACTCGTCGAACGCAGGACAAATTCTCTTAGAGTATATTTTAATCCTTTGCATTCAAAAAATTTATCACTAGAGATATTCAATTTATTTCTATCAGATACAGATGACATTTTTTAAAATCAACTTACCGAGGAATCTATTCACAAAATAAGGGGAGCAATGGTACTTTATTTCCACATTTCACTTATCGACAGATTACTCAAGAGTTAACGTTAACACTAAAACTACCAGAGGGGTCAAATGTCCCATGCCTGATGCCTTCTTTTTGCAATTATTAGAAAGGTAAAAAATGTTTCTCTGAGAAATTATTAAAGAAATTCATTTAGCACTATACAAATTGAATTGTAAATCAATTAAAGTCTGAACAGATGCATTCTTGGAGTTTCCATAGCGAAATTTTCAAAAGTCAATTGAAGTGCTCGGTTGTTTTAGTGTTAAATACGAAATTTTGAAGTGCAAAATATTTACACAAAAATCCGCCGTCCAGTCATTTTCGCCTATGATCACTCGCTACCAGCTACACGCTAATCACTACCAGCCACAGAATCATCGGGGAAACCTCGAAAACTCTGTAGAATTCGATCAAACGAAATTCCAGTCGTTTTTTATACCCGGGAATCGTCTCGCTGCTGGTCTCCTCCGTGTCGTTTCCCCTTGGACTGGGCCAGTTCATGGCTGGCGACTTGAACACGCACGACCAGGTCTACGGACTGTTCACCAACTTCACCTGGACGAAGGAGGAGCTCGGCGTGGAGGAGATGAACATCGTTAAACACTGGTCGACAGCGTACACGGACGTGTTCACCGGTTTGCTGGGCTTCGGCGCGTTCACGGTAAGATCCACGCGTTGCTTCCGGTCCGTCGTGATCGACGGTGGATCCGAATTGTCAATGGAGGTCGGACAGTGGCATCCCGTGGACCAAAGGGGCCTTTGATTTCAGTTCATCTTTTCCATTATATGCTCGACGGTGCCGGTTCCATCGGGAATCTTCATACCGGTGTTCAAAATCGGCGCGTCCCTAGGTCGAGCTGTCGGCGAAGCTATGGCGCTGTGGTTCCCGAACGGTGTACGGTATGGGGGAATTATTACTCCCATAGTGCCAGGTAATTGAGGATAACAGTGTGTACATGTCTATAATATAGAGTAATTATTTGCTGAGATAACTTTGATTTGGGAATAGCAAATGTAAAAGTAAACAGGTATCTTAAAAAGTTCATGCGGTTTCTTAAATCGAAATTTAACACGTTGAATGCCGTATTTGATGCCACAAAATACACAAAATGGAAAAATCAAATATTAAATCATTCGATGGAATTGCATTATTATAATTGCATGTCCATCTAGCTGAAGGTCGCCGCAATAGGTGGCATTATTTATAATATAGAATTTTTTTTTTAATAATCATCGTTTAATTGAGCGAACTAAAGTAAGTCGATTTGATTGGGGGTCACCGGTGACCCCCATGGCGCTCAACGTGTTAAACATGGAAAAAGTTTTTGTGAAATTATTTTATTCGGTACCAATGGCGTAAAGATAACTTGCTTCTAATACCGACGTCACTTATTAAACTAGAGATATTAATTGAAATCGGACAATTCATTAACACTCGATCGACGGTCATTTACTGTAATTCTATTGTTTCTTGAGAAACTGATGTTCGTTTATTTTGATCTTGGAAATTAGAAGTTTAACCCTTAGCACTCCAGGTTGTTTTGTAATCTGTCAGCAACTGCAACTAATTTCTATAGTATTCCTAGCGAAAATTACAAATACTATAACATTTCTTCTCTTTTATTTTCCTTCTTAGCACAAAATTTTGATGTGAAAATCGAATAATTTTATTCATTAAAATATCTAATATTATAACTGGTGCAATATTGGAGCCCACAGTGTTCAAAGGGTTCAATTTGGATGTGTGGAAAATCGAATAATTTTAGGGTAGTTTCTTTAAGATTCATTAAAATATTTAATATTATAACTGCTGCAATATTGGAGCCTACAGAGTTCAAAGGGTTAAAAGACAATTGGGATACATATTAGCGTGACTGCAAAAAATTTATCACATGTTTACCAAACGATGTTTATAAAATTCAGTACGAGTCAAATCGACTCGTTCCGTGAATCTAGTGTTAACAACAGAACTGTACGAACTTTTGCTGGTGGCTGCTATAAAAAATGAAGTTAAGGGGTTTAGTTGCAAAGGCTAACGGGAATTCCGCTTCAGGGGGTTACGCCACGGTCGGAGCAGCCGCGTTCTCGGGAGCAGTGACCCACACGATCTCCGTGAGCGTTATAGTGTTCGAGATGACCGGGCAAATCACGCATATCGTTCCCATCATGATAGCCGTGTTGATCAGCAACGCGATAGCCGCTCTCCTGCAGCCCAGCATTTACGACAGTATCATTCTGATCAAGAAGCTGCCGTATTTGCCCGACCTGCTGCCCTCCAGTTCAGGTAATCGCCCGTAAACGCATTGTATCAGCAGCTCGATCGGCACTTTATTGATCAAGGCAAAGTATAATCGAATGCGATTCATCGGATACGAATCAGTGAATAATCAGCGCTGAAAGGAATGAATAGAATTAACCCTTTGCGGACGGCTGTCGGCATTTCAGTGAGATGAAATGCATTTGGAAGACTAAGTCGTGGAAAAATGATTTAATTACTCTGACAGCAAGAGATCATCTCGCAGTTTCCTTTTGTCCTATTAATTAAGTAATTTATATTTAATTTAACTTCATTCGATGAAGACTTTGTAGATTTCAAAGCATCTTGTTATCTGATGTCGACATTTCGGAGAGATGAAACATTCAGATTTGGAAGATTAAGTGTGGAAAAATGATTTAATTAGTCGAACAGTAAGAGAGCACGTAGTTTTCTTTCTTTCTATTAATTAACACGTTCACACCGCTGTAATTTCCACTCTTTCCCATTTGGCGGCTGAATTCTCAAAATTGATAAAAATATTGATCAATAAGTAAATTAATTCTGAACTATACGGCAATGTTTTCTAATTACCAAACCACTGGAGCCACATATTTGATGCTACACACCGTCTAATGAGCCATCAATGGTACACACTGTCTAATGAGCCATCAATGGTACACACTGTCTAATGTGATATCTTACTGTGAGCCACCGGTGGTACACGCCGGTGTTAAGCAATTGTTATATAATTTAGCATCATATGTTGAAGGTTTTGTATGTTTCGAAGAATCTTCGTTCGCAAAGGGTTAAAGAACAGCGTCGCGAGGACAGATTCTAAGTAAACTAAGTTCCCAGACTTCTAGTGTTAAGTGAATTCTAGCGTCTCCGATATATTTCTGATCTGCAACTAACATTTGCCCTGTTTATTAACAAGCTTCGCTCGAAGGAAGCCGCTAGGTAACGAACCTATGGAATATTCTTCTATTTATAATGCGTCAGTGCCGCGGAAATAGAAGCCGCGAATGATAGGCGTTAATTCCGCCAGGTATGTACAACGTGTACGTCGAAGACTTCATGGTGCGCGAGATCAAGTACATCTGGCACGGGATCACCTACCAGAGGCTGAAGGAGATCCTGAAGGAGAACCGCAAGCTACGCGGCTTCCCTCTAGTCGATAATCCCGACTCGATGATCCTGCTCGGATCCATTCAGAGACTGGAACTCATCAAGCTGATCGAGAAGCATATTGGACGCGAAAGGAGGTTACAGGTACACTAAGAAATCGATTTCTTTAATCAAGTTCAATATTAAATAGCAGAATTTATAGTATCACTGCGTTAAATCAAGTGACCTTTTGCACTCGGAAGGTCCTCATTAGGAACATTTAATATTTTTTTGCGAGATTGATGATATTTTTTGAAAATAAGTCGAAGGAAATCAAGTATATTGAGAAACGAAGCTATTTTATTCCAATATTTCACGCATCGAGGCATTATATAAAATTCAACGTTAAATATCAGATTTTATAGTTTTACTGCGTTAAATTAAGTGATTCTTCGCACTCGGAAGTTTCTCATTAGAAATGTTTAACATTCTTTGAGACAGAGATATTTTTTGAAACTAACTCGAGGGAAATCACAAGTATATCGAAGAACGAAGCTATTTTATTCCAGTATTTCATGTATCGAGGCATTCTACAACATTGAACATCAGATTATAGTTTTACTGTGTTAAATCAAGTGGTGAGAGTCACCTTCCGAGTGTAAAGAGTTAAAATGAATCTACGTTTACAATGATCAGAGAATGTTCTTGCCTTTTGGCAAATGGTTAGCAGTGAAGTTCTAGCTACTGTTGGCACAGGAAACATCGTAAGGCTAGTGATTAATAATACGAAGTCTAGTTTAATCGTTAAATAATCGATTGTCTGGCTAGGTGGCCCAAAAATGGCAGAAAGAGGCGGAAGAGAGAGCCAGGGAGGAGATGGAGCGCCAGCTGAGGGACCAGGAGAGGACCAGGAGACCTTCGAGGTTCGAGGTGATACCAGCGCCAGACATCCTGAAGATGCAGAGGCAGAGCGTGAACGATCTAACGATGTCGCCAAACAACGGCACCGGCCCGGACCACGTGAGTCACTCGGTTTGACGTCATTTCCCGAGCGAATATTGTATATTTACTCGATTAACCGGCCGCCCACGCGTCATCAGGCGGCCGCTTTTTTTTTCCTTCGTTTCACGTCCCGTTTCCTCTTGGTTTCAGCACACGTATCACTCTCCGGTGTTCGGCTCGCAGCCGAAGAAGTCGATTCTGAAAAAGACGAACTCGTTCACGCTGAAGGGTTTCAGCCCTTTGGTCAGCCCAGCTGCCACGCCTTACACCACGGTCACTGGGGCGGAGAGCAGGTACAGGAGAGAGAAGGGATTCATAATAATGATAGAATCATTGGTTTTCGTAATTTTTTATGTAATTGTGTGATGTATTTCATATGTTCCGGCACGCTTTATTTGAGTGAGACACAGCCGTCGGTGCGCAAAGATTTACGGTATGACCAATTATGCTCGGTCATGTCTAAACACAATATAAGTAAATTTTGGAAGCGTTTTATTGCTAGCTGTATTTTAACATCCGATGTCATAAATAACCAGCAGCTGAAATATCATAAAAAATGGCAGCTCAACCACTTAACCCTTTGACTGCCACGTCACCCAAATTCGGGTGACATTATTTTTTACAGAAACTTGGACATTGATTCTTTTGATGACATACCGAACAAACCGAATTTCGTTGGATACATGATATATAAGAAAGATAGTGGAGCAATTATTAAGAAGAATTTTAATTTCTCAGTTTCTGGTTACAGAAAAGAACTGTTTCGAGTACATGGTAGCTTTGATGAGTGTTTACGTGGCAGAAAAAGGGTTAAACCCCGCGCGCACAGCCACCGGTACCCTTGCAGGTCAGAAGGGACGACGTACCCCCTACCTCCACCACAAGTAATGTGGGCGTAGGCTAAAAAACTGTAATGAGCAACACCCCGATCGGTTAGCCTTCTGATTCGACACTAAGCACACCGCCCTACATCAGTATTTTTATATAATATAATATAATATATATATATATATTTATAGTAATCCTGGCTGAGCCCCAATTTTATACTGGGGCTACTATTATTATAGATATTGAAAAGGTGGATCTTCAGTAAAAAGAGAATTAGGAAACAATATGGACAACACGTAAAAATACAACTTAATACCACGAAGGCCAACACACGACTCTCTATCACGTACAAAAATGTTCTTCTCCGCTGTCTCTCACCAAAATGTCCTTCTCGCACGCATTCCCACTCGCTTTTAACACACACCCCCATTCGCTCTGTCTTTCTCACCCTTGCACCCTTCTCACTCGCATCTTTCGTCCATAGTCAAAATTCACGCAGTCACGTACACGCTTTTCTCACGGTCCAGTCGCTCAGTTCCAAACACTCTTCCTCGTATTCTTTCAGCCACTCGAGATTTTCTAAACGCAGTCACACTATTTTCCAAACATCCCGGCGCCGGTCCGTCGCAATACGACCTGGTCGCCCTTACGCACGCACAACAAACCATTCATCCTACAATAAATATTCTAGATACTACATATTATATATATAATATTATATAATATATATATAGCGTTAGATTCATGACATGGAGACAGACATGGAGACATACATACAGACAACACAAGTTCATTACTAACCACGCTGTACTCACTGGACAACACACACACTTCAACTTTGCACACACATACACACTCCTTTCACTCATTATCAATCAAGAAATACAGTCCACTTTCGACTGAAAAAAGGAGAAGCCTTTTTTCATCATCCCAACTATTTCACACAAGGTTAATTCGGCGTGTGAAAGTGTTACGCCACATCCACTAACATTGCCTGGACAGCGTGCACGAACACTATACTCTACTTTTTATGAGAAAGATCGATATTTGAAACTTGCGGCTCCTTTCCTACTTCAATCCCTATCCTAATTCTTCATTAAACTACTGATGAATTTAAAGGTTCTTCCATATCTCGATGAAGAAAACATTTTTACTTATATTTTAGTGTACCGAAACTTACGGGATCCTGTCAATGACTAAAGAAACAAGAATCAATGTGAAAGATAGTAAATAAAGAAATCTTTCTTCTAATCCTCATCGTGTTTCCGTTTCAGGATACGCCTGGCCTTCGAAGCGATCTTCAGGAAATCTGCCACCTTACAGGACGTGGATCCAGACCCGGAAATAGGATCCGGCGCAGGCACGAGGCGTGAGAGCCAGGATGGGCTGAACGTGCCATCCCATACACCCATGCTGGTACCCAGTCCAGCCACTTCGAAGAAAGTTCAACTGGTAAATTCGAGTTTGATTACCATCCCCTTCGAATCTGGGCGTAGGGATATCATTATAATGACGAGGGATCGCTTGATTGCCGTTAGCCACGCGAAAGAGTGATAGACATGTCAGCCGAGGACCAAAAACGATGGGAGGAGAGCGAGATGGCGTTGGAGGTAGACTTCTCCAGGTGCCACATCGACCCCGCGCCCTTCCAGCTGGTCGAAAGGACGTCCTTGCTGAAGGTGCACAGCCTCTTCAGCATGGTAGGGGTGAACCATGCTTACGTGACTGCTATTGGAAGGCTGGTCGGGGTTGTAGGGCTGAAAGAGGTTCGTTTCGAAGGCGGAACGACAGTGAAAGCTCCATCAAACACCTGTGGAACTGAATTGTTTCGTTCTAGAAAGATTCTGTCTTGGGAAAGTTCTGTTTTCAAAGGGTCCCCGGATTAGCGAGATACTCTGCTAACAATAATCCGGGGAACTAAGTTTTTCTCTCGAATACTTAAAGAAAAGATTGAAACTTAGGCTACAAAGACAGATGACAGAGCTTTCCCGTAAACGAAAGGTCTGATCGGTTTCCTTCGCAACCTCAATCATTTTCGTTGCAGTTGAGGAAAGCGATAGAGGACGCGAACGCCGGGATCTTGCCGACGCACCAGGACTCCCACATCGGGGCGTCGAGCTCCAGCCTCGCGAAAAGCGAGACGGACACCGAGAGCAAGAACGCGAGCACGATGAACTCCATCGCTTCCGTTGAGTGCGAGAAAGTGGAGAAAGTCTGAGTGCTTAGATACAAAAAAATAGAGAGAGCAAGAGAGAGAGTGTGAGAGAGAGAGAGAGAGAGAGAGAGAGAGAGAAAGAGAGAGAGAGTGAATGAAAGAGAGATACGAAAAGGAACGAAGCAGAGATAAGGTAGAAGCAAATATGTGATAGTCGCTGAAGCGACCCCGGAACGACACGCGAGAGACCTATACATAAAGTGAATGAATTAACGATTCCCTTCCTTCCACGACCACTGTTCGATAGTCCTGGGATTAGTCCTCGAGCAACGAGTCACCCGGTAGATCGCTTCCGAACGCTCCTCTCGTACTTAAATGGGGACAGGATTCTCTATCGCGTTTCAAGGCTTCCTCCCAGACCGCGCACGTTCGACGAAACTTTTTCAGTACATTATCAGTGGCTTTGGATACCGTAGATGATTCTTTGACGCGTCGCTTGTTGTAGATGATCACCGAGACCTCGAGACACAGGACTCTATATCGTCGATACTGTATTTACATTCTCGCTGGAAGCTTCTCGCAGTTTCTCGATACCCTATTGCCCTCGCAGTTGTAAGGCAGCAATCTTCCTGAACGGCTTTCTAGAAGCTCTATCATTCTAACTGCATCACGGTTATTAGTGCTAGCTATCAGTATCAACTTAACAGACCTCCACTCAAAGTTGTCCATGAATCGAACTGTCACTACTTTTCTATTAGAGCTCCAAGCAGTATAATCAGCTGGTCTGTTTTGCTATAAAATTGACAAAGGTACGTTTATTAAGATCTCAGTCTACTCGTATTCCAGTTTAAGTTCTTAGAAATCTGTGTCTAATGATTTCTCCGGAAACCATCCATGACTTCTCGATAATTGCAACAGAGGAGACCCGAAATCCAGTAGTCCTAATGTTAAGCTATCCGCAAAGCGTCGCTCGACGAAGTTTGAAACAGTATCGGCGAGAAAGTCGTAGAAGGGAGCTCTCGATGCCGAAGAATGTCTCATCAGGGCGTAGCATCCTTCTTTTACCTTCGCGGGAACCTTTTACCTTTCGCGAGCCTCGAGGAACGATCCTTCCCGTTGCCCTTCCTCGTTCTCTTCCTCCTCGCGGATCATTCCCATTTCATGGCGTGTAGATTAACAAAGAAAGTTACCAGACGCGCGTGTGAGCGAGTGTGTTCGCGCGGACGTCTCTCTCGGTCGTGTAATTGCCAGTGCTCAAAAGGATCCTCCTCGCGGACGACGAAGAGATGGTGCTTTACGGACGAACGAAGACGATCGGAGGGGACCATTGTTCAACAAAGGGGAAGAAAGGTTGATCAATAATGTATCGCCAGTGTTCCGTGTAACACCGTTCCGTGACGAGCGTGATCGATGATCGATCGAGGAGGAACGCGGATCCGGGACTCGCTCTTCGGCGCTCCTCTAGCGTGTAACTGTCTGACCATGGTTGTGCCAACCTATTTATTCTAATTGTTAATTAATAAACGCGCGAAACTCGTCGAGTCATCTAGATTTATTGCGCGTCCTCGCGTGATCGCGACTCAACCTGCGATCCGTTTGACGCTCTTCGACCGTCATGTTTGTATATCGACAGAATTGTTTTGCATAGACTTAAGAATGAACGTTACGAAGAATCTTTTTAATCAATGACAATTCACATCGTTGGTAGTTTGTAGAGTTGTAAAGAATCTTGGCGAGAGAAACGATTTTAGATCCAGCGATCCCGCGAGGACCGTCGATGCTTCCCTCGAGCGAACGTTCAAATCGCGTTTCGATTGAAGATCGGAGGAAGACGGAGAGTGTCGTGTTTGGTTTTTTTTTTCTTCTATTTAGAGGATACTCGAGTAATAATTGTAGCGCACGATCGCACGACGTTCTTGATCGATGAATTATCTAGGACCAGAGGAGGCGGGCCACGCCGTCCAACGTTTAATTTAATTAAGGAACGATCTTTCTTTTTTCGGTAGGACATTTTACATTCCGTGTTGACGAACGATTTCACGATGCATCCCATTTTATTTGTAAATTTCTTTCGTCGCGTGCACGACGATCGTCGTTGAGTACACTTGTACAATCGGGAGAAGACATTAAATAATTTATTATATTATTTACATGTTGTGCTGTGTGTCGATGTTTATAAAGTATCCACGTAGCCGATCGCCTAAGTTAATTACCTTAATTGATTTCTTTTGATTCAGAGGTAAGTGGTCAGTCGATTAATATACAAAAAGGTGCAACTGCTTGCTGGTATCGAGCAGAGCTGAGTATATGCTGTACAGTAATGGCCAATAAAATGTCACCAGGCATTTATTGCAATTGATTTTGTTCTTTCTGATGTTAATCAAAGCTTTCAATGAATTATATTCTTTATAATATTAATCAAAGTTTTCAATGAATCATATTCTCTATAACATTAATCAAAACCCTAATTTCCAAAAACAAGGTTCGTTATATTTTATACACAAATTAAAGTTATTCATATTTCTAAACTGGTGCAAAATCCATGGCCACTACTGTACACCACGTAAGCGAGGTACATATCTAGGTCACGTTTCCAAGGAACTCGTCCCTTTGTAATCGGAGTTTACTCTACTTCTCCAAGGTAAACCAACCGTGTAAGCACTTTGGCACCGGGCCAGGAGCTTCGAACGTGGCCCTCGCGATTTCCGTGAAAGTCGCGCCGTCTAGAATCAGCAGTCCCACCTGCGACTCCTTGTCAGTCCACACTATGGAACTCAACACCACTCCGTCATCTTCTTTCTAAAATTATTCAATATTATTCAAATCGAAAAATCACTTCACTCGAAGATACATCGATAAATACGTTGAAAATCAATTCAGATTCTCTTTCAACCTACCCTTCCATTAGGATTCGGAACAAAAATCGGTTCGCCAGGATAAACATTCTTCTCGTGCCACGTCTTCCTTGTTTTCGTCAAAATGTCCACTTTGATGAGCTGTAAACTATCATTCTATCAGCTTCTTATAAGTAATACTAGGAGAATGATCGTAGAACTTAGATGCAGTTACCGTTCCAGGGTTCTCCAAGTCTACGTCGCTAGAAATCGCATAGAAGTACCGATACTCCCTGCCGAGACAGGATTCGTAGTTAAATCTCGGTGTCTCGCATCCCAAATCGCAGAGTAACTCTGGTTTCACGAAGATGTTGCCATCGGGGAGCCTGTGGGCAGCTGCCTTCCTTCGCAGCATGTTCCTGTAGTCATTCTGATGGTCCTTGGTGACCTTTACAGCGGTTTCGTTCGTAGCTGTGGAGTCTGGTTCAGTGTCTTTTTGTGGCTCATCGACGTCCTTAAACGTCTCTAAGCCTTGGTTCACTGTTTCCGCAGTGATCAAATTATATTCTACAGGAATGTCTGGCTTTGGTTGCTTCAATGGCAAAATAAATCGTAGAGGCCTGCCACGGAACATGTTGGCGTAGTTTGGATTCTCGTGTATGGTCTGGAAATATAGAGATTGATATAATCTACAGTTAAGTATTTTTATATTTTCTAAGTAATGAATTTCTTAATACCTTCATCGCGTCTACAAACATGCAATCTAGTATTTGTGGATCCCGGTAGCAGCAAATGTCTAACACCACGTAATTATGGTCACGTGTCTCGAATTGATTGATAGTGTGAAGATAGAAGAACTTTTCACTGACGAAGGTTCTTTCTACTTCTCCTGTCTCCCTTGAAACTAGATGTATGAGGGTCTGTGTAAATGAAGCAAAAAGTTATTGACTGATTAAGAATGATGTATGATGAGTGTAATGTGAGTTATACTCGCATTTTCATTCTCGTGCCATTTTAAAGCTGCTCGCAGGGGTTCCTGCTTCACTTTGCACGATAATAAAGTAGTCAGAGAAACAGCTAGAGGTTGTTCAATCACTATGAAGTAGTTCTCTGTGATACCAAATGAGTGCATGTAGGAGGGATTCAGCAACCACCTGGATGGGACTGTGGCGACTATTGTGGCCTGATCGAACATGGATAGTTCCTTCTCTTCTCCTGAATCATCTGGGGGATACAATTTAGTTTGTGATGCTGTCTGTTGGTTTTAAAACTCTGGAGAAGCTTAGAAGATCTAAAACTTTAGGGGTCCTAAATTCTAAAGTTTGAGAATTTGAAAGTCTTAAAGTTTCAAAGTTTCAAAGTTTCAAAGCTTGAAGGTTTCAAAGTTTAAAAATTTCAAAGTTTCAAAGTTTCAAAGCTTGAAGGTTTCAAAGTTTCAAAATTTCAAAGATTCAAAGTTTCAAAGCTTGAAAGTTTCAAAGTTTCAAAGTTTCAGAGATTCAAAGATTCAAAGTTTCTGAGGTTCAAAGACTCAAAGATTCAAAGATTCAAAGATTCAAAGATTCAAAGATTCAAAGATTCAAAGATTCAAAGATTCAAAGATTCAAAGATTCAAAGATTCAAAGATTCAAAGATTCAAAGATTCAAGGATTCAAAGTTTCAAAATTTGAAAATTTGAAAATTTGGTAATTCCGTAAGTTTACAGTTTCGATAGCCTAAAGTTCCGAAGTCCTACAGCTCCAAACCTCTCGAAATCTCCGAACAACGAACACTGACCTATAGTAATACAACTTGGCGAAAAGCACACAACATTGTACTTCGGTCCACGCGGAGACAGACTCATTCCCATATTGTACACAGTGCCATCATTCATCACATGAGGATGAGACGTATGGTTCACAATACCTACGTAGTCTGACACAGTCACCTAAACAGAGAGGACACCAAAATATCAGACCATAAGTCAAGAAATTAATTCCCGACCTCCTCTACCTTGCCAGTAGTTTCCAAAGTCTTCGGATCGACGCGATGAATCATCGCAGCTTCGGAGAACGTGTAGTACTCATCGCCAAACGGATAAACAGATATCATCGAGTTGTCAGAGTCTTCGCCAGGTTTGAACACCGCTGCTACCCTGAAGAAAATTCAATTTTATATGCTTTCAACATTGTAAAAAGCTGAATTAACACGTTGAATGTCATGGGGGTCACCGGTGAGTCAGATTCGACATTCTATTTTATTGCAACCTCTACCTGTTTTAACAATTTTTTCTATATTTATTTTTAGTATGACAATTATACCATTTAAAGGTAACATTTCAATGATTCCCAAATATTCTTGAATAAATAAATAAAGCGTCATATTAAGTAATTAAATGAACTAACGTCGACGTGAACCTCAAAGTGAGAAACCAAGAGCACTTTGGACCGCAAAGGGTTAAACCATGATTATTTGAAAACATTTCTATATTATAAATAATGCTAACTAATGTGGTGCAATTCGATCGAATAATTTAATATTATATTTTTTCCATTTCAATTATTTTGTACCATGAAATCGCATTCAACGTGTTAAACCTCAACGCTACCTTTGAAAGATACTCTGGCAAGGATCAGGCACAGCCTTCGTGCCAAACTCAGTCACGACTATCCTCTGCGCAGCTTTGTTCTTCTTGTACACGTCCGTCTGCACGAATCTGCACTGATACGTCACCTTTCCGTTCGCAATGGCGAATCTATAAATTCAAAAGAAAATCGTACTAACCCGTAAAGAAAGTAACTAACTAGTAATAAATTCTGAAACAAAAGATCAGTTCTTCCCTCGTTGATTCTGTTTGACGAACGACTCAGATGGAATTGTTAATAACCGTCAATCGAAGTCAAGCAAGTGCGGATTTCACCTTGACTTTGAACCCGTGCTGCACAAAAAGATGAAGACCAGAGGGAAGACCGAAGAATTCCCCGTTGACTTCCACTTCGACGTGCATTATACTTTCGAAGTTAATCATTCTGGTCTTCGTAATTGTTGTTCAGCAACGGATTCGAGGATTTAGCGGTCGCCAGTGCGAGGCTTCCGGCTGATCGATAACACATTGATACTCATGTTTCGTCAGTATAGCTAATTCCTTTAACCCTTTTCGTGACTGCGCAACACGCAGCATTGCATATCGATGCAGTCAATTTTGTCGGTTAATTTTTCAGTAGAATTACAAGATCCTCTAACGTTCTAACGCTGTGCACTCGAAAGTTTGTTGCTAGAAATATTCAACGCTCTTTGATAAAATATAGACGGTGCTTGCTGCGACTAATGTAAATAATTTAATCGATAAATTAAGAGACAAAGTAATTTACTTTGATATTTCACATAATGATGCGTTATACAAAGTTCAGTACTAAACATGAAACTTTATAATTTTACTGTATCAAACCAAGTGGTGACCGAGAGTCACCTCCCGAGTGCAAAGAGCTAATTTATGTAGACGGTTCGCCCTTTTGCGTGTCGATACTTGGGGGCCCTGAGAGATAGTCCAGGCCCATTGGCTAATTTATGACCAAGGGGACCACCATGACCTGGGTCACGTACGCCCTCATCTGAAAGCTTTTCCTTTTTAGTAATGCAACTGAGGAAAAGCAGTTAGTCGCCGTTCCTCGTTAGAGCCACATCGCGTAATAAATATATTTAACCTGACTACGGACTTAGTTTTTATTTTAGTAGCCCTACATTTAGCAACATTTATTGCAGACGTACCGGTGCAGCAGAGCCGAACTGTCGAACAGGTGGTTGAACCTGTACTCCCCAACCTTCAAGCTACCCGGTCCGTTCCTCAGCAGAGTGCCCTTCAGCCAGGATGGAATCGTTCCAGTCACCTTGCCAGGTAAGGGATCTGTCACTTCTTTCTCGCAGGACCTCATCCACACGGACGAGTCGCAGTTCGGATGGTAAACTTTCTCCTCCTTTCCCTCGTTCTCTAAACTCCTTGCGCGTTCGTCGGGATCGACCAGCTACCAGGAAAAATCACAATATCGATTAAAGCGTTACACTTAAGAATCGTGGGATAATTGAGACAATTACTGAGATAATTACAAAAAATACATGATACGTAATACCCTAAAATCAAGCTACATTAGCAATAAATTAAAGATGGGGCTGAATAAGTTTATCTTCGAAATCTTGATGAATGCTAGATGAATACAATATGTAATACCAGGAAGCTGATAAATAGATCGATGATAAAGACTAATCAAGTTTACCGAATCTAACTGAACATCCTGCCAACCATTCTTACACGTAGTACTCACAAATGATATCAGCTTGCCAGAACGAATTTCAGTAACAAGCACTTTATTGAACAATGAAACCGAGCACCTTATCATTAACACGTTGAATGCCGCACAATTTCATAGAGCAAACTACACAAAACGGAAAAAGTATAATATTAAATCATTCGATTGAACTGTATTATTATTATTACGCGTTCATCTAGTTGAATGTCACCGCATTAGGTAACAATATTTATAATTCACAAAGGTTTTCAAATAATCGTCATTTAATTGAGTGAACTACAGTAATTCGATTTGGTTGGGGGTCACCGGTGACCCCCATGGCATTCAATGTGTTAACACTAAAACTACCAGACGAGTCAGATAACCTATGCTTGATGTCTTTTTGCAATTATTAGAAAGGTAACAAATGTTTCTCTGAGAAAGTATTAAAGAAATTCATTTAGCACTACGTAAATTGAATTGTAAATCAATGAAAGTCTGAACAGATGCACTCTTGGAGTTTCTATAGCGAAATTTTAAAGAGTCAAGTGACCTTGTTGAATATTTATTTGTAAAAATAAACAACACAGTTTCAAAAGCTAAGTGTATATTTATTAACCCTCTGTAGGCTCATGTAACTTTGAAGTCACCTATCAGTATATTGGCATCTTGTTGGTTTATTTAATTTTGCACTGACAGTGGTGAATAAAATAAAGTAATCAGTTAACTTCAACTTTTTTATGCTCACGCATAAAAGTTTAACGTCATTGTAACTTGAAAGTTACAAAATGTATTCGTCCGATGAAATTATGGAAACTATTGAATATATTCTTAATTCGTATTCATATGTGGACATTTATTAATTTTGTACTGCATAGATTTTGTCATAATCGTGAACAAAAATTCGGCCTATAGAGGGTTAACACTAAAAGTACCGAGCACTTCAATTGACTTTTTAAAATTTCTCTATAGAAACTCCAAGAGTGCATCTGTTCAGACTTCAATTGATTTACAATTCAATTTGCGTAGTGCTAAATGAATTTCTTTAATACTTTCTCAGAGAAACATTTGTTACCTTTTTAATAATTGCAAAAGAAAGACATCAGGCATGGGTCATTTGACCCCTCTGGTAGTTTTAGTGTTAATCTATCCGTACACTTACACGAAACGAAGTCTTCGAGAGTTTCATCCGTTTGCCATGCAACAAGTCGTCGAGTTCGTTCAGATTCACACTAGAAAAGTCACTGGTGGATCTAGATCTACGAAGCTTAGTCGCTTTCATCATGATCTGCGACGAGTTCACCGAACAGATCCGAAATCACACGCAGATCCGAGAGCGTTGTCGCGCGAGAGACACGGTTGATCGATTAATCACTGATTCACAGCTGGTCAAGCATTATGTTTCGTCCTCGGCAGTTTCGTCATCAGGCTCCTCAGTCACCAACGGGTCCAGAATCGTTGACAGAATGTAGAAGACTCGCTTGTGGGTGAAATCCATCGTTCCCCTCGGGGCTTCGACCAACGAATGACATTGTTCCAATAATCTGCTGACCTTAAAAATGTGGCTCGATCGTGATCCAATTAATGGCACCGGTTGCTCGAAGCCCCGCTCCTGGTCACGTGCAACCCCCAGGGGGTTGCAACCATGGTAACACGTGGTTTGCCGTCACACGTTGCCCTTTTCTCCTACTACCCTTTGTTCCCTTTTGGATTAATTGATTACGAAATCATTACTATTTAGTATCGAAGTGTCTTCTATGTTTTGTTTGTTGTTCCTAGTAGTAGTCAGTAATTTGTAATTAAGCTGTTATTAACACATTGCGTACCGGCTAATTTACAGAAAACTGAATTGTGATGGCAATTTTCACTCAGGTCAACTTATATCACTATAGAAAAACTCATGTATCATATTGTTACGTAATATATTTTAAATAGATAATCAATTCGAATTAAATTTTATATTTTTTCAATTCTGTGGTAATTAGCAACGTATTAATTCTTTTGCCTTTTATTCTGTTTATCTTTTGTTTTGTTATTTAGTAAGCCTTCAAGTGGGGTTATCCGCAATTCATCAAATATTCTTATTTTTACAAAACACAGTCTCTAACGGAATTAATTGAATGATTTCAATTGAGGATAATGAAGGAGGTTGTAGTTATAGTTCTTTTTAGGCGGTCGCCTAAGTGTTAACCCTTTGCACTCGAGAGGTGACTCTCAGTCACCACTTGATTTGATACAGCAAAACTATAAAATTGAATATTTAGTATTTTAACACTAGAACTACCGAGCATTTAATACGACTAACATGTAATCCGTATAAAAATTGTAACAATAGATTATTTTCGGTTTCTTCAAGCATTCATTATAGTACTCAAGTGATTTATTTTCAAGATCATTTTAGATATTCAATGCTTCTAAGATATCAATGATTCCAAAACGAAATAATGGAAACTAGTCATTTTGACTGGTACGTAGTTCTAGTGTTAAATGAAACTTTGTATTGCAACAGGAAATATTTAAATAAAATTACTTTGTCGCTTAATTTATCTGTGAATTATCGTTAAATTAGTTTCAAACAGTGTCGTCTGTATCTCGTCGAAAAATGTTAAATATTTCCAGTGAAAAACTTTCGCGTGCAAAGAGTTAATAGTCGCTGTAATATTTACCAAGGTTCTTTATCTATTTTATTCTTAAATTTCAAAGAATAAGATTTATCTTTTAAAAAGCAGATATAGTAGAATTTTCACTTGTTTATTTATTAGAGTTTTTGCTACCCTTCTACAGAGTGCAAGATTATCATTGCCTACCTTATCGATAAGCCAAACGAGACGTTCGGAACTAGTTCAGCTAATCGCCGATAGATGGCGGTAGCAATGGTAACCGGAGGACTTCCGGTTCTTTCTTGAAGATTTGCTTGCGAGGAACGTCGACGAAAGGAATGATAAATATGAAACAGGCGGAGAATGAAATATTCATGACTCCAGGAACTAGTTGCATGAAAATAGACTTTTCTTTTTGTTTTGTTTTTCTTCAGGTAGATCGTCTTCTTTAGTAATAGCGTCGTTCAGACTGCCTTTGTGTTTTTCTCCATGAAACTCGCTGGAGAATATACTCGGCGCACTTTAGACACAAGTTCTTCCATCCAATGAGAAACTTTGATAAAATCTATAATCATCCCCAAGAATATCAACCAGTTAACTGTGGAATCATTTTGAAAAATCTCTCATCGCAATAAAATCAAATAATAAATGAGAAACTTAGGCAAAATGAAGGAGAATCGAATATTTAGCTAAAAAAATGAATAATTTATCGTTGAAAAAATCAGTAGCTGCATTTCAAGATGACGTGTATACTCGTCGAACGCAGTTAACTGGTTAACACTAGAACTACCGTACCAAAATGACTGGTTTCGATTTTTCTGTTCAACAATTATTGATATCTTCGAAGCATTGAATATTCGAAATGATCTTGAAAATAAATAGTTTTATTTGAATACAATGAATGCCTGAAGAAACTGAAAATAATCTATTGTTACAATTTTTATGGGAATCGCATATCAATCTTATTAAGTGTTCGGTAGTTCCAGTGTTAATGATCGAAAACACATTCTGTGAGATACACTTTACATTACTTCTAGAAACTAAATTCTATTATTATTTCTAACAGTGTAGACGAATATACTAATTTATAACTGACAAATTCAAAGCTAATATTTATTACTTCTGTATTACATTGTTCTATAGTGTTTTATAGAAAACTTTAATTACAACATTACTGCAATTGTTTGTATCTCACAAAACTTCACTGCTCAAAATTTCCCTCAGCAATTGCTCGACTGTCCACGTGAGTGTCCCATGAATTTCTCTTACCGGAAACAAGATGGCGATGCTGGGATTCGGTGTAGCCGGCTTGTCTGGGTTGGTCGTAGGCACGGACATCCTGGGAAATGCCCTGGGAAACCCGTTTTCGTATCACTGGTTTCGCAAAAAATCCACCGACTTGGCCGCACTCGTGACCGTGCGACAGTGCTGGCCGGCTGCCAAAATTATTCGCGGAACTGGCGTTGTTGTCACGCGATACGCAGCCACCAGAGACACTGCCACTTTCGACACCGATCCTTGGTGGACTCTGTCTACCCCCCGGCGGATTTATTCTGTTTTCTCGATCGTTGGCAAAACAATCCGAATTTCTTGGATATTGTTGGGGACGCGCAATCTTATCGTACGGTAAAAGCTGGATTTATTACTTTGTTGCTTGTTTTGTTAATGTCGGTTAAAAATACAAGCACTGTCTCTCAAGTGGACCTTGACCATCGAACAATAACGGGAACAGACTTTGTTAGACTAATTCTTGAGAGCTGTGACCACGGAGACTAATTCTATTCTAAGGATTAATTATCCAATTACTATAATTATTGATATTTTCAATGGAGTAAATTGAATAATAAAATATTCCATTCAAAACTGTGCCAGTTTGAAGCACAGATTTAGAGGACTTGTATTATAAAGGAAAATCAAAGTTTATTTATCTATATTATACGAATATTATATAATCTCCGTTCGTTTCGCTATAAACATTCAAGATGGACCGTCATTATTTTCGTTGATTCGTCGTCGGTGAAAGTTATCTTCGACTCGCCAACAAAAACAGTTTGGCAACGTAGACGTTCAGAAAATTTTGTTGCTTCGTTTTTGTTACGTCCTTATCGTTCACTGACTGCGGGAGCGCTGTTAACAAACAGCCTGACGGCTGCTAGATGTTATTCTCGTTTTACGATTGAGACGATAAGAAAGATCAGGGCAGCCTTGATTCTTCGTTTCTTCAGCATCCTTGCCGAGATAATTTTCCTATTCTGCTAATTAACACGTTGAACGCCATGGCGGTCACCGGTGACCTCCGACGAAATCGAATTACTATAGTTCACTCAATGAAACGACAATTATTTAAAAATATTTCTATATTATAAATAATGCTACATAATAAGGTGACATTCAGCTAGATGAACGTGGAATAGTAATAATGCAATTCGATCGAATGATTTAATATTATATTCTTTCCATTCGGCGTATTTTCCTCTGTAAAATCGTGCGGCGTTCAACGTGTTAAAATTGCGAAGACTCGTGAGAATGAGAAAAAGTAGAAAAAGGTCGTACTTTACGTAAATTGAACGCTGAAAAACTTATATATTAACAACGAAAATCACTTTCAGTCACCGAAATGAATATATTATTTTAAAGCTTTATCTATTCGAATGTCACGTTTTAATAATGCATGTGCATTTTTTTGCTGGCATAAATCAAGTATGCAGAAAACAATAAGACGCTATTCTGATAAAGCCAATTTCAAAGATATCTAATGAATACGAGTGAATTGAAGTGGGATTGATGAGTTATGGCAGGACACGTTACGTGAGGCACAGGATAAAAATTGCAAACGTGTTTTGCGCTTCCTCGAGATGAATTTTTATTGAAATTTCAACTTCGACGGAGTATATTTACGTTTATTTTATAATTTTCGATTCTTATTTATTCTCATGGAACGCGTTGAATGTATTTTAATGAAGTATCTTGTCGGTAATAGAGAGAAGGTCGGTACAGACATTTCCTTTTTCAAATATCGCTGTTTGCTGGAAACTCGAAGCGTCGCTTACGTAAAGTGCTTTTTTTCAATGGATTAATACTTCAACACTTTCTTGTTAAGAGCGAATAACGAACAGGAACGGTGTCGTTAAAGGAATAAAAGTTTTTAGTAAGATAATTCCGCGTGAATACATTTTGCGATTGCATATATGTGCATAAATGAATAATAGTGATATAGACGACTGATGTAGATCAGAAGTTAACATAATTTTCGCCTTTCATGGCGTTACAGTATATCGAAGGTACTGTTGACCTAAAATTATCATGAAAAAAGATTATAATGATACGTTTTAGTGTTAAACGAAATCAAATCTGTGATTTAATTAGAGTGCATATGGTAATCAGTTGACAATAGTATATTTTATGTAGAGTATTAGAGAATATTGTTTTCTATAATTCTGTAATTTTGTTTTATCATGTTTTCATTTTATCGGTAAAATCTATGCACTTTAGTCAACAGGCTTTTCGATGTTCGGTTGTGAAAAGATTTCATTTGCAAAGGTGCTGAACTCGCGAATAAAAGTCAGAAACAGATATACATTTCAATTTCAAAGTGCTAAGAGCAAAGCCTGTCCGTTCAATTGAATGACCTAACTTCACGTTTCCTTAAAAAGTGTTGTCATAGAACGCATGTATTTATATTACAATAACAGGTATGTAAGAACAGCGGGACTTTTGACCCATTTTTCACGAAGATAATAATGGCACGTCACTCAAGGTGGTCATTTCAAGTGCCTCGCCTCGTGTACGTAAGAATATCAATCGATTCAGTGGCCATGCCTTTAGATAAGTTTCATCAATATTAATGAAAACTGGGGTTCTTTTTTTCATAGATAAATATTATCTAATAGATTAATACTAACTAGTAATTGCCAACTAAGCTAATAATTAATTATTACTAACTACTGATTACTAAATAAACTAATACATAATTACAATTAACTAATAATTACCAACTAAACCAATTAATCATTAGTAACTACTTTCATCATTCCCTAAAAAGATAAACAAACTAAAAATCTATTTCTTCTATCAGTAATTCCCCTACTCCATAGAACCATAGATCAACCAGAAACCTATCATAAACAATTCAACGAAACTTCTGCGAAACGCAACCATGAAACGCAATCATAACGAATTAACGTGGCCTTAAAACGAGGCAACAAGGGGAAGCTGGAAACGCGTGAAAATCAGCGAACGGCTGTTTTCTACAACCGATCTGCTGCGCGGACAGCACAAGCGGGACGAACGTTCTGCGTGACGCATCGCCCATCGTTCGCATAAGTCCGCGTCGAATGCAACGATACGTGCAGCTTTATGCGAAACGGTGCAGCACACATGCCCGGACCACGTGGCCGTCACGTGCTCATGTCGAGAGGCGAGAGGTGCGTCGCGTGAGTGGCCGCGACGAGTCGCGAATCGTGCTGTTAGCTACGACCGGATCGCTTAGAAAGCGGCCGAACAGTTCTCGAACTTTCAATTATCATGGAATAATTCCAGCTTCAATCGGAATTACTGTAATCACAACGTAACCTCTTGCTAGACGACTTTCTTCTTAATTATGCCCGTTTAATTTTCTCTGTAATCATTTTTAACCAGGAATTCTCTCATCATTCGACGTGGACGTAGATGACAGTAAAATGTTCATGTTTACTTATATGCAATGAATAATATCTAAGACTGATAATAGGATTTGATATTAGTAATAAGATTTTCATTATATATTACTTTTAATTTACTGTATTATTTTTATTATGGAACTCTTAAGGGAATAATTAGCGAAGGCACACTTAAGGAATTGTTCGCCTTAGTTTAATTATTCGAATTGAGTCGCACAGGTGTTTCAAACCGTAGAATTTCAACTTCAATCGAATTCAATATCTTGGTATAATAACAACTTCGTTATACCATGATTATGTAATTTCAAATAGTATCATAGACACGTTCAGAAAATGACACTCGAGAACGCGGTGCTTGATTCACGCATGATTCCAATGGTAAACAATTTTCAGATTACCCGATTTGAAATTCAAAATGACTAAGGCAAACAGTCTCGAGCGTCCCTAGGGTCGTCTCAATGACTTTTCCGCCGAGTTTTCAGCGACAAGGTTTTAAGCTGTACAGTCATTGTCTCCGATGCACTTTACGCAGGGTTGTTAGCCAGTGAAGCTGCTAATTAGGAACGAGTACAGGTGATGTCAATCGATCCGCCACCCACGCCAATAAATAAATAGATTATGAAACGAACGTGTAACCAGGCGACAGTCTAGAATACCAGTTTCATGATAATGCGGCTGACAGTGTGTCAGAAGTCAGCGTTTAGACGCTGTAGACGTCTGCTGACTCTCAATATAAACAACGAGTGAGCGTTAACACGTTGAATGCCGCAAGATTTCATGGCGGAAAATACACGAAATGGAAAAAATTACATATTAAATCATTCGATTGAATTGCATTACTATAATTGCACGTCCATCTAGGTGAACGTCACCGCATTAGGTAGTATTATTTATAATATAGAAATATTTTCGAATAATCATCGTTTAATTGAGCGAACTAAAGTAAGTCGACTTGATTGGAGATCACCGGTGACCCCCATGGCATTCAACGTGTTAAAAAGATTGTTAGCGCGTTTATCGTGTTACAAACGTTTCTACATTGCAGTGGAGGAGGACAACGGTAGTCAGACAGGTTCCAACAGGAACTTACTTAACAAATCAAATAATTGTATAATATTCTTGAAGTTCCTGATAAACATTAATCTTACTTCATTTTTGTATGTAGGCGTGTCTGGTCAATAACGATCCAATCTACTTGCTCTGTATATTTTTTTATACATTTATATAAAAATATATAATATAATTTCTTTATGTATATATATATATATAATTATATATATATATTATGTATATATATATATATTATGTATATATATATATATATAAAAAACAAGAATATTATATATATATATATATAATTTGATGGTGAAGGTATAAAATTGAAAATAGTTTGTTAAATAAATTCCTCAAGTAAAATAATAGCTCACTGTTTTAACTCTTTGAACTCTACGCTCGAATATTGCACGAAGAATAATATTAGATATTTTAACCCTTTGCACTCCAGAGGCGCCTCTAAGTCACCAAATGATTTGACACAGCAAAACTGTAAACTTTGATATTTAATATTAAACTTTGTATAATGCATCAATATACGAAATATTGAAAGAAAATAGTTCTCTTCCTCAATGCATGTGAGATTTCTTAATTCAATCTAAGAAAATGTCGTCTGCACCTCATTAGAAAATATTGAACATTTCCGGTGAAAAACTTCTGGAGTGCAAAGGGTTAATGAATCTCAAAGAAACTACCCTATAATTATTAGATTTTTCACGAATCCAAATTTTCTACTAAGAAGGAGAATAAAAGATCTGAACAATGTTATAGCATTTTTCATTTTCGCTAGGGATATTATAAAAATCAGTTGCAAT